ATATTGCATTAAATGAGTTAATATATATAAATTTATGTATAATTATCTGATAAAGAGTTAGGATGTGTTTAATTTGGTTGATTTGATAAACCTATTTTTTTTTTTTTTTTTTTGCCTTGAATAGTTGTTGACCACCCACTAAAAATTCAAATAAATGAAATTTGAAATTAAATGTGAAGGTTGAGAAAGAAGCGTTACCACCTATTTAAATGATACGGTGATAGATCATCGTTGCTTTGTGTAGAGATTAAGGTTTAGGGGTACGATTAATGTTGTACCTATGATTTTGATGATCATAAAATATATTTGAGTAACTAATTGGTTCATTTAAGTGTATAGTTAAAATGTCAAAAGATTGCAAAATAAGTAAACTTGGACTACACTTAAAAATGGACCAGAAAGGCTTAAATATATGTAGAGAGCTGGCTCTTGAAAGCTGCAGCTGACTCTGGTGAAATGGAAGTGCAGAGAGCTGGCTCTAGAAGCTGCAGTCGGCTCTACGAGTAAAGATTTAAAGGTCCATTGTTTGGCGCGCGCGGAGAGAAGATGCAAAGTTGGCTACAACTTTGCAGTTGGCTATAAGGGTGCATTTAATGCATAACAGTCGACTTATTTGAAGAATAATTAATATTTTTGAACTCGGAATACCAAAGCCGGCTTTACATTTTTGCATCCAGTTGTCCAAGAAAATAGAATGTGTAGCAAACCTGCAAAGCTGGCTTTGCGTTTTGTAGCCGGCTTTATGGAGAAAACAGAATGCGTAGGATGCTGCAAAGCCGGTTGCAAAAATGGTAAGCTGGCTGTACAGAGCCAGCTCTAGGAAGTTAAGCCGGTTGTACTGACAGTTCTGCAACTCGAACCATGCATCCTGCAGAGCATTAAATGACCCCCAACGGCTAGTAACGGCTATTTTTGACCATAGCGTTATAAATATGGTTGGTAGAAGATCTGGAGCAAGTTTAGAGAGCGTTGCATTGAATATCTTTACCTACCTATATGAGCTTTAACTTGAGTTTTTGATCTTTGGGAAATCTTTACTTGTAATCCTCTTCTTGTTCTATTTGTGAGTGATCTTGGGGGTGTGATAATCCTTCAAGAGTGATCTATAGAGAGGATTCTTGGGGTTTATCTTGTAAAGGGGTGAGATTTGAGAGAAACACCTTTTCTTTTTGTAAAAAGATTGAGTGGTTCCTTTAAGCCACCCTTGATTTTGTTAGTGGAGAGTGTGGAGGAAATTCTTAGTGAGTGAAGCCAAGGTAGAGGACTAGGTTACAAGTGGTTGGACCGAACCTCTATAAAATCATTGTACAAGCTCTTCTTCCCCACTCTCTCTTTGATTTTTGTTTGATGGTTGCAAAGAGGTGAAAAAGTTTCAACTTCAATTCACCCCCCTTCTTGGAGTATATTGAGTCAACAATTGGTATCAAAGCAAGGGCTCTAATTTGAAGGTTTTACCACCTAGGAGTTGATCAAGGATGGCTCAAATTCAAGCTTTTCAACCACTTGAAGGTTTGTCTACCACTAGGCCTCCTTTCTTTGATGGGACTAATTATAATTATTGGAAGAATAGGATGAAGGTCTTCATGCTTGCAAATGTGCCCAAGGCATGGATTGTGACTATGAAAGGTCCATATGTACCTATGAAAGTTGTTGGAGAAAGAGAGGTGCCAAAGGAAGAAGTTGAATGGAATGATGAAGACTTGGGGAAGATCATGATCAACAACAAAGCAATCAACATGCTTCAATGTGCTCTTAATCCAACGGAATTCCGTAGAGTATTCGGATGTGATACGGCCAAGGAGATGTGGGATATGTTGGAGGTAACACATGAAGGAACAAGTCAAGTGAATGAGTAAAAAATCAATAGACTCATTTACGTGTATGAGCTTTTCAAGATGAAATCGGAGGAGAGCATTCAAGATATGTATACAAGATTGAATGATATAGTCACCAATCTCAAGGCTCTTGGTAAAGTTTATCCTCCTCAAGAAGTGGTGAGGAAGGTTCTTAGAAGCTTGTCTAAGAATTGGGAAGCTAAGAAGACCACAATTGAAGAGTCTAAGGATCTCAACACCCTCAAGCTTGAAGATCTCATTGGAAAATTGATGACATATGAGATAGAAGTTCAAGTTGATGGTAGAGTTGAAGTAGTTGAAAAGAAGAAGAATGATGTTGCATTCAAGGCTAGCAACCAAAAGGAAAAGAGTGAAGATGATGCTAGTGATGGTGAAAACATCTCCACCTTGATCTCTAGAGAAGTGAGGAGATTCATGAAGAAGAACATCAAGAGCAAGCTTGCAAAAAGAGATGAATGAAAGTCTACCAAAAGGAGTGTGAAATGCTATGAGTGCAACAAGATGGGGCACTATAGAAATGAATGCCCCAAATTGAAGAAGAGTGAGAAGCAAGGCAAGAAGAGCATGAAGAAGAAAGCTTTTACTGCCACTTGGAGTGATGATGAGACTAGCTCAACGGAAAGTGAAAACTCCTTGGAGAAAGGTGTTGCAAATGTTTGCTTCATGGCTCAAGAGGATAGGAACCATGATGAGGAGGTAAACTCTAACTTCTCTAGTTCAATTAATGAAAATTCATTTGAGTATTCTTATGATGGTTTATGCAAAGTTCTTGATTGCTCTATGAATGACATTAAGAAACTAGGAAATGAGAATATTGCTCTTACTAAAACCATTTCATTGCTTAGGAATGAAATTAAATCTCTCTCAAAACAAAATGAGGTTTCAGTTAAAGAGAATGCCTCTTTAAATGGTGAGATTGCTTCTTTAAAGAATGAGGAGTCTAATAATGCTTTGAAAAGGGAAAATGAGGATTTAAAGAAGGAAAATGAGGTTTTAAAGAGGGAAAATGTGGTTTTAAAGAGAAAAGGTTGTGATCTTGAGAATGCGATTTCCAAATTTACCTTGAGTAAAGAAAAATTTGATTCTATCTTAAAATCTCAATGAAGTATTTATGACAAAGGGGGTATTGGATTTGATTATTCTAAAAAGCAAGACTTTTAAGAATTTTTTTGTAAGAGCAAGTCAATCCTCTCATCCTAATGTTACTTGCTATTGTTATGGGGCAAAGGGACACTTTGCTTATGTATGTCCTTTGAAGAGATTGATAGCTCAAGGTAAGGTTAAACAAATTTGGGTTCCAAAAGGAACTTTAAGCACTAACCCCTATGGACCCAAGCAAATTTGGGTACCAAAAATCAAAACATAATTTTGTCTTGTAGGTAAAGTTGATGGCAAAGTCATAAGAAAAGTAAAGTTGATCTTGATAACGACTTATGCTTTAACAAGAATGTTGGAGTGAAAGTGCAAAGAAAATTTGTTTTTGAATGCTCCACTCATGTGCTCAAATTGGTATTATTTATTTTATTGCATTTATTCATTGAGTATAATTACTTCAACATGACTATTAATTATTTGTTCATGTGTTCACTCTTTGATATATATGCTTGTTGAATATGATATCATTTGATGTGATTATTAAAATTTATGCAAATTAATGAGCTTGGCATGTTAGATCCTAGTGCTTGATATGGCTTTTGAAATTAATGTATTTGCTTATTAGAATTTATGCATATTGATGACTTTGATATGTGTACCTTGATTATAATCATGTTATTTGATGATGCACACATTGATATATGACTAAAATTGTATGATTTAATAGTTGATGTCCAATTTAAACTTGGTAAAATGAAGGAATATCAAATTAGGTGTATTTTCTTCAAAACAGTCCCAAACCTTTTATTTGTACCAATCAAGGCCAGTAGAGCCAGCTGCACCTTCTTCATAGCCAACTCACTCGAAAAACCAGAAGTTTTCTCTCTCTAAAATTAAGCTGGCTTCAAAACTAAAGTCGCCTCTCCTGTAGTTTTTTTTTTTTTAAATCATTCGGGCCTCTCTCTCTTTGAACCAGATCCGTTATTTTCTTTCTCAAAACTCACCATTCACTCTCCTAGATATCAAAATCCTTCAAAATCTCCCACAACCCATCCCTCAAATACTCAAATACTTTCAAACCCTTACCTACCCAACACAAATCCACAAGCTTTTTGCTCCAATTTTGGTTGGGATTTGCTAAGTTCTCTCTCTCATGGATTCAAGAAGGGGTAGAAGCAGAAGGAAACGAATTGGGAGTTCTAGTGCTAAAGGACAGGCTCAAGAGGAAGGTAACCTCTATGATACTTCTCTATTTTGGGATGATGATGCCTTCAATCAGTACAATTTTGTCAAAAATTTGGCTATGTTACCATGCAACAATGTGAAGTTTAGTCAGTTTGCTTAAGGGAATATGCATGTAGAAGAGATTTTTAGGGAGCTTGGATGGAGTAATTTTTTAGAGATTAAGGAGCATGTGTATAATGATGTGGTTCACCAATTCTATGCAAATTTGAAACAAAAAAAGGGAAAGTGCACAACTATGGTTAATAGGAACACAATTCAGTTTTCACCTGGAGTGATTTGTAATGTGTTAGATATACCGGAGGGTGGAGATGATGAATTTGAGAATGTCAACCATGAAGAAATTAGACTCGCACTTGCACCAACATGTGCTACAAATCATATTAGTGTGGGCTTACTTTCACTGGAAAACAGAGCATTGTAGTGGATTATTAGTTGTATTCTTGCTCAAAGAAAGGGTTCTAAGTCTGTTGTGCTTACTAGTGATCTTCCTTGGTTTGATTATCTTCTAAAGCAGAAAAGGTTAAACCTTGGTAGATTTATTTACCACAACATTATCAAGACTTACTCCTCAGATATGGGTCTTCCGCATGGTGCATTGATCACTAGGCTAGTAAAAAGGAACAACATTGATCTTGAATCTTTTAAGCATGGGAAAATTAAAGTTGGGACTACTCTCACTCAAGCTTCCTTTGAGAATATGCAATATGAGTTTCAGAATGGTAGTTGGAGGAAGAAAGGGGATCAAGCAATGGAACAACAAGGTGATGAAGAAGAAGGTGATGCAGATCAAGAAATGGTAGAACAGGGGGAAGAAGAACATGGAGGTGACAGTCCAAGACCCTTTCAAGCCTCCATGCAAAGAACTAACTATGAAACTATAGAGCTTATGATAAATGAGATGTGGCAATTGCACACTGACTTCTTTGGTTTCTAGATGGAAATGAGAGGGAGGCTAGATTCCATGGATGGAAAGCTTGATAAGCTTGTTAACCATTCTTTTCCTCCACCCCCACCTAGTGCCACCTAACTTGATATTTCTTTAGTTTGGCTAATCTTTAAGATAGACATCTTAGGCTTATGCATTTTAAGGTTGTGACTATGTTGTTTCTTTGACTATGGATATTTCTTGAACCGTTTTATCATGTTTTGTGAATGGTAATGGCATCACTTGTGTTATCATGCTTTGTGAATGGTTGTTTATGATTTTGATGATTGTATGCTCTTATTAAGGGGGAGCATTTTGTGTTGAAATTGCTCTTCTTAATGGTTATCATGCTTAAATGCTTTAAAGATTGATGGGCATGAATTTAGGGGGAGTTTGTTGATTATGTGCTTTTTGATGAATGACAAAAAGGGGGAGATATTATGCTGAATTTAATGTCATTTTCTAGAGTATCTTTGTGCTGAGATTCTGGTTAATATTGAAGTATATATGTGCTTTCATTAATTCATTCTCAAAGTGTTTTGTCATCATCAAAAAGGGGGACATTGTTGTACCTATGATTTTGATGATTATAAAATACATTTGAGTGACTAATTGGTTCATTTAAGTGTGTAGTTAAAATGTCAAAAGATTGGAAAATAAGTAAACTTGGACTGCACTTAAAAATGGACCAGAAAGGCTTGAATATGTGCAGAGAGCCGGCTCTAGAAGCTGCAGCCAGCTCTACGGGTAAAGATTTAAAGATCCGTTGTTTGGTGCGCGCGGAGAGAAGATGCAAAGTCGGCTCCAACTTTGCAGTCGGCTGTAAGGGTGCATTTAGTACACAATGGTCGACTTATTTGAAGAATAATTAATATTTTTGAACTTGGAATACCAAAGCCGGCTTTATGTTTTTGCAGCCGGCTGTCAAAGAAAACAGAATGTGCAGCAAACTCGCAAAGTTGGCCTTGCGTTTTGCAGCCGGCTCTACGGAGAAAACAGAATGTGCAGGATGCCATAAAGCCGGCTGCAGAAATGCTAAGTTGGCTGTACAGAGTCTGCTCTAGGAAGTTAAGCCGGCTGTACTGATAGTTCTACAACTTAAACCATATGTCCTGCAGAGCATTAAATGACCCCCAATGGCTAGTAACGGCTATTTTCAACTATAGGGTTATAAATATGGTTGGTGGAAGATTTGGAGCAAGTTTAGAGAGCCTTGCATTGAATATCTTTACATACCTATATGAGCTTTAACTTGAGTTTTTGATCTTTGGGAAATCTTTACTTGTAATCCTCTTCTTATTCTATTTGTGAGTGATCTTGGGGGTGTGATTAATCCTTCAAGAGTGTTCTATAGAAAGGATTCTTGGAGTTTATCTTGTAAAGGGGTGAGATTTGAGAGAAACATCATTCTTCTTGTAAAAGGATTGAGTGGTTCCTTTAAGCCACCCTTGATTTTGTTAGTGGAGAGTGTGGAGGAAATCCTTAGTGAGTGAAGCTAAGGTAAAGGATTAGATTCCAAGTGGTTGGATCGAACCTGTATAAAATCATTGTGCAAGATCTTCTTCCCTGCTCTCTCTTTGATTTTTGTTTAGTGGTTGCAAAGAGTTGAAAAAGTTTCAACTCCAAAGTCACCCCCCCTCTTGGAATATATTGAGTCAACAATTAAGAGTGAAAAAGGTTGTAATCACCTCATAATCCTTTGTATAACATACAATTGCATACTTTAAAGAGGAAATTACAATTTAGCTACTTATGATTTGGAATTGGTGTAGATAGAGACTTAAGGTTTTAAAATATACATATAAAATACTTGTGATTTGAGGTAAGTGTATATAAAAACTTAAATTAAAATTTCAAAATGTACATATAATCACTTGAAATTTGTACATGGTACACATAACCATCTAATGTTACATGTTTAAATTAAAATTTAAATGACTTAAATTGAAAATGAAGGGACATATGATTGAATGGAATTGAAAGTTTGACACTTAATTGAAAAAAAATAGGAACAAGTGGGTGCAATTGAAACAATTTTAAAGTGAAAATTTGAGGATAGAATTGAGATTTTCTTAAATGAATGGACAAAATATCAATAAATTGGTGGTGTTTTTAAGTTAGGACTTTAACTTTTTATGCAAGTCGGGATTGATATACACTATTTTTTATATGTATTTAAGTCGCATTATATCTTACTCCCTTCATCCTATAAAATTAAACATTTTTTGATTCAAAATTTGTTTAAACTTAATAATCATTTTTTTAAATATTTTTAAGGAGATAATTTTTTTTTGTACTTTAATTTTATCATTATCTTTTGATTTTAACTATCCATCCTACATAAAAAAAAAAAAAAAAAACCTTCCCTTATCACTTCTTTTAGTAGTAATATAGGTGAAAACATAAATTGTCTCCATATAAATTTGAAGATAAAATTAAGAAACATTTATTATTTTTGTGACAAAAGGAGTACATAACAATGTATAAAAGATTATTTTAAGGTTAAAATATCAATTTGGTCCTTCAACTTTTAGATTTCTATCAAAATTGTCCTTAAACTCCAAAAGTACCAAAATTGTTCTTAAATTTTAGTTTTTGATACTAAAATAGTCCTTTTATTAATGAAAGTGCTTGTGGCTTGTTATTATGCCACAAAATTAGTTCTTCTTTAAACTAATGGCTGTAAAATCAGACAACTATATTTTACCATCGTGATATATTTTTATTTACATATTAGATTGATTCATAATCAAAGTTGAACTACTAAATTGGTATTTGTAATCAAAGTTTAAGGATTGAGTTGGTACTTGTGCTTAAAGTTCAATGACTAAGTTGGTTCTATTGTCTTAAACTTAGGACTATTTTGGTACTAAAAATTAAAAAGTTCAAGGATAATTTTGATATTTTTTGAAGTTTAAGAACAATTTTTGTGCAAATATGAAAGTTGAGGGATGAAATTGGTATTCTAATCTTATTTTAATTCAAATTATTTTTGGTAAAGAAACCCTGTTTTCTGTTCAAACTATATTGGACTATAAAACAAGGATTATTAGATGGGGGATTGGGTTCCTATCTAACGGTTAATGTAGTATAGGCTATACAATCCAAATTACGCAACACTTTTTCATTTGTAATTAAGGTAGTAAGAGAAAATAATATTTGACTTTGTTTGAATTTAAAGGATCCAAATATTCATATATTTATATAAAAAATTGAATGAATAAGGCCACAAGCACCGTAAGGTTAAGGTTTAGTTTTCTCTGGCTTTAGAGTCTTGTGCCATTAGTGTTTAGGGGCTGATATGGCCTAGATCTCGAGCTTTTCCTTCTTGCTCACTGCTTTTTGGGTTGTTTTTAGCTCTCTTTGTTTGTTTCAAATTCAAGGTTGGCAAATGGTCAGGGGAGAGATTCTATGGTGGAGGACCTAGCTGCGATATGATTGAAGTGAGGTTGGTGTTGTTAGTGGAGGAGGAGCAAGGGTTGTAGTGGGACAGGAACTTGGCGATTGGAGGCTACATTGTGTTAAGGGGATGCTAGAATCTAGTGGTTGGCGGTGGTTGGTCGTGGGATGAAGTAGTATTTGGCAAGAAGATAATGGCTGTGGCGAGGCTATAGTAGGTGAGGGCGTTTTTGTAAGGGATAGAGCAGGGTTTTAACGGGTGGTGGTGTTTTTGCAGTATTAGTGATGGGTTGGCTGGAGGCAGCATTGATTTTTTTGGGAAGGGCAATAATGTTAGGTAAGAAAAATCAGGGATTTGAAATATGGTATTAGGAGAATTAGAGTTTGATTTGGATTTAGTATCTATTGATCGAAAATGTGGTACTACTCTTGAAAAGTCTAAATTTTATTTTTGAAGATAAATCCCAAAAATTATGGATGCTGATTTGATGTCGTGGGAAGATTTGTTAGAATGTTATGGACCTCAAAAAGATTTGTATCTTGCTATTGGGGGAGTATCCCACCTCGAGCTTTAATTTCCTTTAATAAAAGATCAAGCATATAATGACTCAGGTTTAAACTTTCTCTGATTATTAATCTTACGTTGTAGAAATTATAAAAATAAGGAAATTGTTGGAGACTGCGGATGGTAACATCAGGTTTCTCAAGATTTCCCTTAAACTACTTATTTTGGTAATAAATTAGACCAACCGTAAAAATTTTGACAAATGCTGAGTAAGATTGGTGATTCTCGTATTATGCTTTAGTTTCTCTTGCTATTAGTTAGTTATATTAATGAAATTTGTCCCTCATAAAAAAAATTGAGTGAATAATATCTACAATATTCTTTGTAGTTAAAAAAAATTATGAACTAAAAAACAATGCAAAATGTTAGGATAGAAAGTTAAAAAAAAAAAAAAAAACTTTCTAAGTATTAGCTCTCAGTCGGTCGGCAAACACTTTCTACTAGCCATCTTTTACTTAAAAATAAAATAAAAACACTACAGGTCAAACATGTTGGAAATTTTTTTTCCTCCATTTGACGTGGCCTCACCTTTCATGCCTTCTTTCTAAAGTTTATCATATGGACCCCACGTATTTGGATAACATTAATTAACAAGGTTAAACGAAAATTAAAAGTCAAACATAAAGAAATTTCAGTAAATTTCAAGAAATAATCATTGCCCATTGCCTTTGGCAAAAAAGAGCTGGCAAGTAAAACATTTCATTCATGCATGTCCTACCAGTGCCACAACCCCACCTCGACCATCGGGTGGGACAAATAAATAAAATTTGTAGTTTTTTTTTTTTTTTTTTTGACAAAGGTAACGACTAATAGATTAGTTTTATTAGTTATTAGTAATTAAGAATTCGATTTTTAGATCTAGTGAATATCCTACTTCCTTTAATAATAAAGGGCGTGGTCCATTAGACCGCTTGATGAAGTTCAATTTGTAGTTTTATTTGTGGAAAAATAATTGGTGTATGATTAGGTTGATTTGGTTAGGGATTACATGTCGGCTGCATTAGGCAGCTAACATTTGTCTTTCTTTCATGTTGGCTTCATTTTCTTTTTCAATTGAGCTAGATATTAATTTGAGTTTCATATTGTATAATTTAAATGATAAAATAAAAATTTATTAAATAAGAAAACAATTTTTAATATCAAGATACTTGTCTTTTATTTAATACTTTAAATTATGCAATTTGAATTATATGCACAATATTTTTTTTTGTATTAGTATTATAAAAATATTATAGTTATAATATTAGTTAGTATTATAAGTTTATAACATATTATGTTTTTATATAATTGGTTCTATTTATTTAAAAATTTATTTATGATATTACATACATTTATTAATTTAATATCAAATTATACTCATTTAATTTTAAAGAATACTCTTTTTTTTTTTATCAACATGTATTTATTAAAATTTTTGCTCTAACTAATCCGAAAAATATGTGTAAATTATCTTCTTTACAAGAACTAAGTAAAACTATTCTGGATGGTGGAAGATGTTGTTAACTAGGATAATTTCACATTAAAACATATATAATAAGAAATATGTGATGTAAAATAAGAAGAACTATTCTACATATTGTAAATTAATTTTAAACTTAATTTAAATCTTATATTAAAGCCAATATACCCAATTTCAATTGTTTTTTTTTAAAATATTAATTAATTAATTAATTAATTAGTTAAAATATAATATAATGTTTTTGGAGATATGCTTCATAAAAGACTTGCAAAATACTTTTTTTTTTAATAATGATGATGATGATAATGATGAAAGATATCCCAATTCAAAATTAGTTGGGGATATTATTTCTTTTGTTTACAGGATTAATGGTCTTTTGGATCATATTCGAAATAGACTATTTTATTAGCGTTCGACCCTTAGAATATTTGGGCCACCATCTTCCTGATACATAGGAAGATTTCAGTAATAAGTATTAAGTATCCAGTAGGCCTTCTCAAAAGCTAACATTAAAATCAATGATCTAAATAGTTTAGTGGTTATCTCTTTGATAAAAAATAAGAGATCTTAATTTTAAGTTATATGACATGCGGATGGGATGTGATAAGGGATGAGAAATGATTACTTTTCATTGTGTAATCAAGATAAAAAAAAAAAAACATTAAATTACTTACTATTCCAACTAAAAAATATCAAATAAAAAATAGTTAAGACCTAACTACAATAGTAGATAAAACATTAATCGCTAAGAATTTTGGGCACAGGTGGGGTATGAACTGTACTTGGTATTGTTTTGAAAATTTTTAGATATAGTTTTTTAGAATTAGTATTTATCTAAATATTCAAAAATTTATAATATGATTGGGTTTAGGGAAATGGAGG